CGTCTCGGGAGTGCATGGGGCGGCACTAAGTGGGCTGGCGGTGCAGACCAGGTGCCGCTCCAACATGAACCTCGTGGGCAGCTACTCACACCATCACCACCATCACCACCCGCACCCCGCGCACCCGGTGCTCCACGAGCCCTTCCTCTTCGGCCCGGCCTCGCGCTGTCACCAGGAGCGGCCCTACTTCCAGAGCTGGCTGCTGAGTCCCCCTGACGCTGCTCCGGACTTCCCCACCGTAGGGCCACCACCCACAGCAGCGGCGGCCTCTGCCGCTTACGTCCCAGACGCCAGGTCAGGCCAGAGCCCGGGGAGCCTGGAGGCCCTCAGCGGCCGCCTGGGCCGGCGGAAAGGCTCAGGACCCAAGAAGGAGCGGAAGCGCACAGAGAGCATTAACAGCGCGTTTGCGGAGCTGCGTGAGTGCATCCCCAACGTGCCGGCCGACACCAAGCTCTCCAAGATCAAGACTCTGCGCCTGGCCACCAGCTACATCGCCTACCTGATGGACGTGCTGGCCAAGGACGCACAGGCCGGCGACCCCGAGGCCTTCAAGGCCGAAATCAAGAAGGTGGATGGCGGTCGCGAGAGCAAGCGGAAAAGGGAGCTGGTAAGTTCGGGGGCCTCTAAGCTCCAGCCAAGGGCGCGAGCGGTGGGTACCGGCAGGCGAGCGCGCAATGGAGGCGCCTGTGTTGCGGTGTGCGTTCTGAGATGGTTGAAATGTGGGATTGTGTGCGTGAGGGAGAAAGATTAATATATGAACGTAATGAGGGATATTGTTTGTAAGGCTGTGAATGAAGACATAGTCTTAACTTTTTTGGAGGGGCTATGGAGTCCCTTTTAAGAATCCACTGGAAGCTTAAGACCCGGAGAAAATACACATATATTTCGCTTCCAATTTCGAGGGGTTCTTAGCTATCCCTGGCTCTCCTGGAAGCCACTTTAAGAATGCTGTAGGAGTTCCTTACTTAATGTGCCTGAGTGTGAATTTATGCTTACGGACTTAGTTACTGTTTTCAAAGGACCTTTGCTGGAGAGGCTAGTCTACCTACATCCTCCTATAGACAGGGAAACTGAGGCCCAGAGTGGGACTGGAGGTGAAGGCCACCCACCCGAGGAGTCAGAGATGCAGCTGGGGTAAAACAAGTCAGGTCTTCTACTCTCAGTCCAGAGCACCACTTCCCACGGGCTAGTTCCACGGGCGACCTCGATGGTTTGGTGTGTCAACATCAACAAGGGAGAGTCTCACTAACTTCTTTTGGCTTTGGAGATCACAGTCTCTACTTGGCCTTTCTCCATCCTCTCCAGTGAGGGAGACATTTTCTGAAGCCTGATTCTGCTGGCCCAGAGCTGTGGAACCTCAGAGGGTGGAGATTTCCAGGCTAGAGAACTAGTTTCTCTAGGTTTGTACGCTCCCGCTCCGGCTCCGGCTGCTGCCGGGGGAAGCTGACTAGAGAGCCCCGCTGGGTTTGGTCTGACCCGCAGAGGCTGTAGCAAACTAGGGAAAGTTCAACTGGGGAGACTGGGAAAGATAGGCATCCGAGTCCATAAACCTCTGCCCTCAGCTAGAGGAGATGCAGGCCCAGCGACGCCTCGGTGGCAGTAGTTACTGCGCGTATTCCCACCTTCTACACTTCACCGCCTCTTTCAAGAATCGCCGCTGGAGAGCGGGGAAGGGGGTGTGGGATAGTAGGCCAGGCCGAGTACCCTTCGCCCAGCTGTCTGAAGCTACCCAGCACCAGCAGGCAAGTGGGGATCCAACCCAGTGTCCAAGCCCAGGGGCTAAACCAGATTGGAAAGCCTGTGGGCTGTGAGGGGAGAGCAGGTCCTTGAGCGAGAGCGGGAAAACTGTGGATTCTCACCCCTCCCATTCCAATCCCTGCAGTCTCTCTCGGGCGCCATCACGCCAAACCTAGGCGCATCAATTTCACTAGACACAGAAAATTCTCATTATGGAACCCCCAGCAGCTGCCCAGCCCATACTGCCCCCACCCCCAGACTCGGAGCATAAAGGCAAATTTTATGAGCTTGTTTGCCTATTTCGCAAACAGAAATCCGTCACTTATTTAAAGGCTCCCAGTTACTGCTCCCAACACCTTTCCCCCGACCCCACTCTACGCTCTGGCGACTGGAGCAGAAAAATTTAAACCTGTCTCTCTCGCCTCTTTTTTTGTGCATGTCCTCTGGCAGCAGCAGCACGAAGGCTTTCCTCCTGCCCTGGGCCCAGGCGAGAAGAGGATTAAAGGGCGCACAGGCTGGCCACAGCAAGTCTGGGCGCTGGAGTTAAACCAGTGAGCCAAGGCCCGCGCAGAGGACCCCACCACCGCGGCCGACCCCAGAGGCCCGGGAGGAGAGGAAGGAGACGAGTGCCAGGCTCTGGGTACCAGGGGCTTATGGGGCGCATCCTGCCGAGCCTCTGCTGTGTGCTGGCAGGTCGCTGGCTGCAACAACACACTTGGATCGCACGTGCAATGTCATTTGAAATTGTTTTTAATACATTAAGAGAAAGAGAAATATATATAACCACCCCCATAACCAAGAGGGCGGCTCTTGGCAGCACTATATACGAAAGGGAGAGACTGTGGGACTCCGGACGAGCGGCTAAGACGCACCCTTCCAACCCTTCTGGGGCGAATTTGGACCCCTGCACCTTCCCCACTGTGCTATCTGGCTCTCTTTCTAATTCCCTCTGGTTCCAATCAAAACCCTTGAGTGCTCAATTCCCTAATTAAAATGCAATAAGAGGAATCAATAGTTTACTGCCAAGAACAGAGAACCAGGTCGGGAAGATGGAGGGCTGCCTTTTGTTGTTAATCTCCCTCAAACAGTGGTGTTTTTATTTTATTTTTTTTTGTCGCTGCACTTCCTACTTAGCTCCAAGGGAAACACATTTTCCCCTTCCTTCTTTCCTTTCTTTTCTCCTTCCTTCTTCTGTCTTCTTCCTTCCTTCCCCTGGTTCCCTCCCTCCCTTCATTTGTAAATAAAAGCTTTTCCCAATGTTGAAAAGTTTTTATGTATTTAAACTACCTACGATGCCTGCTGTGCTCAGGTGTTTGTTTATTCCCCCATCCCCACCCTTTTTCTACCTCAAATCTATATGACCACTCACCGCCCTCTCCCCTTGCCAAAGCAGTATCTATGCTCTTGACTAATAAAACATTTTCTGAAATCGGAGGAAGCCTGTGTGATGTCTTGGTGGGTATCCCTGGCTTCATTGTTTCTGCTAGGTAGAGAGCCTCCTGCTCCTACTTTTTTCGATAAATGCCAAACCAAACTACAAGTCACGTCAAAGGGAGGGGGCAGATAAAGGACTTATTCCTTGAAGGAAGAACAAAGCTCTCCTTAGAACATAACTGCGGGGACAGGATAACTTTAGAGAACTCACAGAAAGGAAAACTAGAAAGGAATTAGACCCAGATTGTCGGGCTATGACTTAGGTGGGTCGGCATTTGGGCTGGTCTAACACCGGGTTAGTATGAAGGAAGTGGGGTTATTAGGAAAGGGCAGTGAAGCTGGGAAGAGAGGGATGTGTTCCACCATACGGTGTTCATCCACATTAAATGAAGAACATAGTTGTGTAGGTAATGGTGCGGAAACTCACTCGGAGCCCAGTGCCCGTGCCAGGGCCAACGAGGGTCTGCTTAGCATAGCTCCCAGCTCGCAGTAAGGGCTCGACCAGTCGAAGCAGCTATTATTTTATACAAGAGCAAAATAAGCTTGTGAATGCTTATAGTTAAATTGAGACATTTAGGTTTCTCTCCAGCAATAACGCACTCAACAAATAATTGTGAGAGCATACGGATTGTGCAAAGGGGTGGGGGTATGTGCATGCTAGTTCCGCCACTTGTGTAGGAGAGCCATCTTTGCGCTCCCACATGCACACCCAGGGCTGGGTGTGGGGGTGAATAAAAGAGAGTGCATTTTTGGCGAAGGCTGGGCTAAACTGGGGTGGGCAAAAAGACTGTTACATGTCCCTGAATAATAGAGTACAGACAACTAGTTTTGCTTTGCTTGCGCGCAACTGTGCTAGGCACTAGTGACTAGGCTAAGCGCTTTTATGCCTCTGAACAGCTCCCCCGATTGCCTGAGGGTCGCATGGTCTGCAGTGCTTGTGCGGGTCTCCGGTGCTCCCTCTGGGGGAACACGCGCGTGGGTCCCTGGGCGCTTTCTAGCCCCACACTGGGAGCTGGGGGCCGTGGCTTGGGGTCCAGAAAGGAGACCCCCGGCAGCTCTGGGCCAGGTGTGTCCAGGCGCCTCGTCCTAGCATCGGGGTGAATATAGGGCCCCATTAGTCTTGGCTGTAAACACCGTGGCAGGGGCCCAGCGGCCACGCGGGCCTTTCCGGACACGAAGGAGTTAATAAAAGGTGTTTTATGGACGTGAGGAAATGGTGGGGGAGGTGTGAGCCTCTCTCCACTCCTACCCCCCTACTTTTTTCTTTTTTCCCTCTCGCCACCCGCCTCCAGATCAAACAGGCCGGTGATTTAACTAGGGCAACACCTCGCGGTAATGAGCAGTCCTCGCACACCCCTCCCCCGGCCTCAGTTCCCGGCCCCAGGCCCGAAGGTCCCTCGGGCAGAGCAGAAAACAAAAATCGGGTTTTTTTTTCTTTCTTTCTTTTCCTTTCCTAGAGCTAGAAAGCCCCTTAGAAATCCTGGTCCGCACGCACCGAGACACTGAGGCTCAGGGAGCGAACCGATCGACCTGCGCCAGCGCGGAGGGGGCCTCACTGGGATTCGAACCCAGGACTCCAGTTGGGTTTTCAGACCATCCTCAGTCTCACTGCTGTGCGCGCTCTGGGGACTATTTTTAGTTCCCAAAGTATCCTAGGCACGGGAAGAATGCGCACCGGGTCCCCTTTCTTGCGTCCCGTCCAGTGAGAGGAAAGGATACCGAGGGGTACCGCCTGCGCAGCCCCAGCCGCGTTTGCCTAACCAGGCCTCCTCGGAAACCCCAGCGGCCCGGGCCCAAACCCCCACTGAGCGGGTGGTGCCTCAAATTCTGCCCCAGCCACGTCTGTCCCAATCTCAGACCTAGGACCTGCGAGCTGAGCTGGGGCATGCCCATTGAGGGGTCACTGGGATGTCCCCCCACTTTCCCCAAGCCTCATTCCAGGGGCTTAGCGTGCCCAGCCCCCACTCCAGGACTGGAACAGCGGGACCCCTGGAGAGGAACGGAGTAGTTCCGGGTTCCAAAAAACCGGTCTCTGCGTTGTCTCTCCTCTCTTCTCACCGCGCCTCTCACCCTTCTTCAATCCCCCTCCTGTGAAATGGCTTTAGAGCCCGGTCTTTACTTTCTTATTCTCTCCCACCGTTCAATGCTGTTTGCCAGAAACCTACCTCAACCGGGCTGTGGCAGAAGCAGTGCCATTATTATTATTTTTAAGGGCATCACTTAAAAAAAAAAAATCTAGGGATAAAATGGAATGGTCATGAACTTAAAAGTAAATTCCAGGAATTTCTCGTAAGGAAATACTCATTGGTATTACAAACCTTTAACTACAGGACTAGTCTACTAAGGAGTGAAAAATAGGAGAGGACCCAGATGGGCTATAATTACAGAATTATAGCTGGTTAAAGAAATCCACCCGTACAGTGGGTTACTACTCAGCCACTAGAAAAAAATGTGAGGGTTGACATGGAGATTGTTCATGATATATTACGTTGAGGGGAAAAAAAAAAACTCTCCCAGGTTACTGAAGACTGTCCATCCTGACCTGTTTTATGTGAAAATAAATTAATGAATGAATAAACATTCATGGAGAAAAAGTGGAAGAATATACACCAAGACATTTACACCTCTACCTCTGAGTTGAGGGAATAGGATAATTTTGATTTTTCCTCCTGCGTATTTTTTTCCTACTCTTTTCCCTAGGATATTTTTCTATTGATTTGAGAGAGTGGAAGGGGAGAGACAGAGAGAGAAAAATATCGATGTGCGAGAGAGACATGGATTGGTTGCCTCCCACATGCGCCCCAACCACGGCCAGCCAGTGATATAGCCTGCAACTGAGGTTCATAACCTTGATTAGAATCAAACCTGGGACCCTTCAGTCTGAGGGCCCACTCTCCATCTACTGAGACAAACCAGCAAGGGCATCTACTTTCTTTTATACAATGAAAAAGTATTAGTTTTAAAATAAAAACGTAAGCTGCAATTTCCTTCTAATTTCTCTGATTGCCAGTGTACACTGTTTAGTCAGTACATGTTAATTGAGTACCTAGCTGTGGGTATAAACATAATGAGTAAGAAAGAATCCATATAATCACCATCAATTAACATACAATAGTAAATATTTGTCTTGATGAGTTGCTTTTTCCTTCTACACAGTAAATAAAGACTTTTCTCTCACATTTAAAACCTATTAATGCATGAAATAATAACAACTAAAATTTATTAAGGAAATTATGGAAGCCCTTGGCATGAATTATTTCATTAAGCCTTATGAGAATTGTGTGAGGTTGATACTAAGGCAGCTGAGGCTCAGAGAGGTGAAGGACTTTTTGTTCAAGGTCACATGGACCGTAAAGGCTGACAGAGCTCGGATCAAAGGGCAGGTCTTGCTGTCTCCAGAGACCTGGCTTTTCCCCACATTTCAAAGTGCCTCCAGGATGTATGTATGTATGTATGTATGTATGTACGTGTGTGCAAATACAGCCTCTTAGTCTGATCTTCGTTGGTAAAGTAAGGTAGAGAAAGAAAGAAGGGATTTTGGGAAAGGATCTGGGATTCCAACTCACCTGGAATCCTCTTCCTCTGTCCCCACTCAGAGTGGATCCATGTATATAGTGATGAAGGGGTGAGTTTCTTGATCCCCAGATTCTTTCCCAGCTGTAACACTGAATCTAGGAATCGACTTTCTGCTGGTGAAAAATTCAGAATGTTATTCTTTGCCCCAGCCTCTGATGTTTGTGCAGCTCATTCACCTTTCCTCTGTACCTTCACTTCTCTAAGCACATTTTCCTCCCTAGAAACTAGAAGGAAGCAGGGGCAGGGATTATGGCTCCTCATGGATAGAAGGAGAAAGGAAAACCCAGAGAGGTGAAGTGACCAGCTCAGGGTCACACAGCCAGTCAAGGGATTAGAAGGCAGCCTGGAGACTTGAGGCCCAGGGCTCTCTTGGAAAGGGCTATGCATCCTTTCTCTTCATGCAACCAGCAGCTAAGCTTATGGTCTTGCTAAATCCTCATAAAAGAAACAAAACTAAGAAATCAGCCAATCTCATTTTTAAATGAATAGTGACTGGGAAGAAAAAATATGCAAGCTCTAAAGTGTCTGAAACCAGTCTCCTGATTTAAACTGAATTTGTTTGGGGAAAAAAAAATTTTTTTTTTAAAGCTGAGTTTTTACAGCTGAGCTCTCCCAAACCCATAAAAAAACAAGGTTTATATGGGAAACAGTGAAAGACTCTTAACTATAATACACAGCGTCTAATGTAAGCAGACATAGACACTATATAAAGCTCCTACAAATGTTATTAAAACAAACAGAAATACACATTTATCCCCACAGAATGGACACAGAAGGCATTGGACTTGCGAGTTCCAGAAGTCTTACGTTCACTGAAATGTTCAAAGCACCCCAAAATACTGGGACTTCAAAGATCTAAACATTTCTCTCACTTTACAGAAAGGGAAACTGAGGCCCCAATGGGAGAGGGCCCAAGGTCACATGGGAAGTTGTATTTTTCTTTTCCCTTTGTTTACTTAACACCTTTTACTTCTAGTGCAGGTTAAAGAACAATACAGTGGCAAGAGACCCTGAACACATTACTGAGCCTCAACTTTCTCATCTACAAAATGGGTTTATGAGGACTGAATGGGATAAGGTGTGTAAAGTACTCAGCATGTTCTCCACTGCAGAGCTACCTTTATTACATTATTTAATCCCTACAATAATCTTGTGAGGTACTAAGAATTTATTTAAGTTTGTTTGCTTGTTTTGGAAATGTAGTGCATATTTCTGACAGGCCCAGAAGGTAACAGTGACTTGCTCAAGGGCACACAGCTAGTGAGTGCATTCTTGGGTCAAAGCCCTCACATTCCAAATCATGAAGGCAAACTGAGAGGCAGGTAGGCAGTAGCAGTTGAATTTCTGAAACTATATAAGGCAGCA